GAGAATGCGATATTTGGTCGCCAGAATGACAGGGACAAATTAATTGACGCTAAAACTTATAAACCTCGATTCTCAACCCTAAGACTAGAGTGAATGCATTCATTGGATTTCGCAAACTAGAGCGAAATATCAACAGGTTAAATTTTGAATTCAGTGTTGACATGACTATCCTAAATAACGTAGTGAACATACACAAGACTGAGCGTAATGGCTTAAGGATAGGGTATGTAACCCCGGGGTGGGTTTTTAAACATGCACCGTCCTAGCCTACTTAGGTAAGTGTGGTGAGCTCCCAAAGCGTAAAGGGGTGAGTGAGTTCAGGAACGCAATCGACCATTGTCCCTCTCCAATTCTATATACTCGATCACAATCGAGAGGACAACGATCTTGTGGCTCAGTGGTGAGAAATTTGGACGTCTATCCAAGAAGTTGTGGGATGGATTCTACGGTATGCACACCTTGGGGTTAGATATGACTGGGCGCCTACGGTTAATAAACTCCAAATGGCCATTCTAGTGTTCACTGTCTTTGTCGTTAGGGCTATTTTGTGGTTCATTGACGTTTGCCCGACACAAGATCGACAAAGGAGACATGCTGTACGCGAAATTTAATCATCCGCAGCGTTGTTCCCGTCAACGTTACTATGACGGGACTCCCAAGGGTCCTTTAAGAAGAAGAGTTATTTGCTATTTATCTAACTTATCGTCAGGCGAATTATTGCCACTGATCCTGATTGCGTAGTCCGGATGATCTAAGATAACTGCAGTGTTCGAGAGCGATGATCTATGCAACTGGACTACTGGCATATCTGATTGCTCTTGACACTGCTATCTGATAGCGCATTTCCTCTGCAAGCCGTCCACTCCTTTCCTTTTTGCTTCTGCTTCTGTTTTAGCTTAATCGTTGTCCTCTGCCACTGCATCGCGTTGCAGTAATAGGTTAGACTGATCGTTTTCTCGTGGCTCGGATGATCGGAAAAACTGCAGTGTTCGAGAGCGATGAGCTATGCTGCAGGGTTAGGCTTCGCTTGCCTCTTTCCGCACGAGCTATCAATATGGACAATATGTTTTTTCTTCGGATTGCACTCAAAACGCGTGTTAGATAACATATTGACTGCGTGCAAGGTACACGATAACCTACACGCATGTGAGCACGTCACGTACTTATAAATAACGATGTCGTGCTCTTTTGAATAGTCCTCTACGTACACGGGACATTCTTTCATAGCAGACTGCACAGTGGTACGTCAGCAAAACACTTTACTATCAATGGAGCTATTTATAATGCTGGCCTTGTTAGTGAACTTGTGTACGTCATCTGCATGTGACATTATAATTAAGAGGTTATATGTTCAATAGTTCACTCACACTCCTAACATTCTTCCTGCTAGGTAATGTAGGTGCCCATACTGATAAAATGTTAGCCGCGAAATCCGTGTTTGATCCGAAGAAGACTACGTAGATCGGCTTGCAATATTCGTCACCGAAAAGCATAATCCCACAATAATTTAGTTATTTCAGGATGCCAATGAAAGTATTTCTGATCGCCTTTAAAACCCATAAGTTGAGAAAAACACTACCGCAGTATCAAGGCTTCTCATCAATGGCTTTAAATGTCCTACAAAATTAAAATATGTTTCACTAACGACACACATAAACATGCTCATTTTTACGTGTTTAGAAAAAAAATTATGTCTCCTTCTTTCTCAAATTCTGTACTTGAAGAAAGGGTAAAATTCGGCTTTGAAGAGGTTTCGGCGCATGCGAATGTTAAAGATTATGTAATAGTAAATCATTTAATATCCCATCTCATCATTTACTAACATGGCTTGTATAACTTGTAATATAGCTCAAATCAACTGCTTAATTTCATAAATCCCCATTGGTATCCCGTGAAAATATTGAGAAACATATAAGTTATGCCGTACTCGAAATATGTACGACGTGCAGTTTTGGGAGGCCTGTGGGAAAGTGTACCGACAGCACGTAATCAAAATTTTTTTGGCAATAAAAAGTTTAATAAAACCGACGGGTATCCTTTTTCGGGTATACAATTTGAAGAAGAAGTAATTTTCGGCCCAATAAGTAAAAGAAAGAGTACTCTATTGCAGGTCGTCCATGAAATACAGTTTGGAGTATATGGTTACCAAATTCATTAAAAAAAGTAATCTTCTACTTATGCGGTCATGTTTACTCGTAGTGCAGTTTATTCAGGCTGTCGGAAAGCTGTTCAATTGAAAAACGGCCCTCACACAGTAAATGATATATCATGGGATTGCTCGATGTTGCAATTAAAATCGCGGGCATACCTATAGTTAGCCGGCTAACTCACGAAATGTCAACCAAAATTTTGAAATGCGTTTTCGGTTCGAAAATAATCTACTAGCTTTCTGACCGCCTGAATAAACTGCACTACGAGTAAACATGACCGCATAAGTAGTATATTTCGTTTATTTTTGACTTCGGTAACCTTTATTTGTGTTGCCAAATTAATCACCTTGCAGTACAGATCTATAATAATTCAGTTACCTCGGGATACCAGCTTGCGAATGGACGTTGTTTCGATCGCGGGCAAAACTTACACTCTGCAGTCAATGACTACGTAAGTGTCATCCAACTTTTCATACGCTAGCTCATTTACTGTTCACTGCAGCAACTGCGATTTATACCATTTATTTGATGCCAAAATAGGGAGAAGACCTAATTTTGTACTAAAGGAGTAAAATAATAAATACGTTTATGCATGTTTTCCATGAAATATAGCTGAATTTTTAGTAGCATCGAAAATCAATGCGAGACATTCATATTTACTCAGTAGCCTCATTTTACCTAACTCAGTCTTTATGTGCTGCAATATAAATAAAATCGTGTGCAGAGAACGCTTACACACAATCATACCACAGTACTGAAGATGTAAATTCTAATGGCTAGAAAACCGCAGACATTCAGTCTGCTATCGTACTGTAGTAACGCCAAGCTAGTGAGGTGTTTTAAAACCTGCCGTGATGTAAACCTTAAATGAGAACCGAACGGAAATAGTGAGAATGGCAAGCAGTTTTTTGCTGAATCCTAACAGTAAAAAGTTAGCTGTATAATGTACAAACACTAAACGCTCTGTTCCAGCTACTTCAAATATGACCTTGAGTTTTTCGTTTGTCTATCGGCCATCTGACTCATCTAAATGGCTTGGCGCCCGCAATCCCCAACCATGGTGATAGCTAGCGAGATATAAACATTCGCGCGACGTAAGCGCAGATTGCCAGGAAGGCGTGTAAGATCGCGCATAAATTAGCGTGAGAACGAGTCGCTCAATTTAGTTGACGCATACACATCCCATTTGGATTGTCGCTATTGCGCTACTTAAAGCTCCTATGGCAACACTTTCGGCAAGAACGGTCTGTTTCACTACACTAGGCTGCTCCTTAGTGTTAAGACAGCCCCGGCCTTTTGCTAGAAACGTTGAACGCAGTGCTCTCCGGCATCCCTGGCACAGCTGGGTACCTGGACGACATCATCATCGTCGGTCGTTCCCCTGCTGAGCTACTAGACGGAGTCTGAGCTGTAGTCGAATGACGGCATGAATATGGCTTCCGTTTGAGGTCTGGCAAATGACAATTCTTCCTCGACTCCATCAAGTATTTCAAATTAGTTTTGATGTCATTTTTCGTCATCCAGATCCTGAAAACATTCGGGCGATCAAATGGATGCCTGCATACATGAATTTATCCCAACTTCGTTAGTTCCTTGGCCTGATCAGCTATTATATGGTCATGAAATCCTCGTGTACTGGTTGAAATTTGTAAATTGGTAGGTTACACAGCGACATGCTGAATGACAAAGATTATTTGACTTCGACTTAAGACAGCATGAATTCCGACACTGATGCCTGCGCATTGTGTAAATTTCTCGATAGGGATATATTGAGAGAGAGGAACGCTTTATTTTGAAAATGACAGTCAAACCTTTCAGCAAAAACGGTTCTCCAGTACACCGCGATTACCATCGAGATTAACAAGTGGACATAATTATATATGAAGGAAAAATGACTTTAATTTGCAAGATTGAGTTTTAGTTTTTGTTTTTCAGCATCTTTGCAGGTGAGATACCGTGATAGAAATGGCAATATCGAATTGTGATAAACCAATGTCCGATAATGGATGTGGCGGAAGCATCGATGCATGGACTGTAAAGATTTCGCAGCAATTAACTTGTTATGAACGGGATGGACGGTGTCATTCAGAATGCGGTCGGCTAATTGCTCCACCAAATTGAAATGTCGCTGCACGATGATATCAACTAAAATATGATAGGAAACACCAGCAGCAGAGGCGAGCATTCGAATGACACATTGCTAAATAATTAGATCTTTTTTGCATGCTGCATGCATGCTACATAAATACTCATTCCTTACCGAGTACGGTTTCTACGGAAGGAAGATAAGAAGTACATTAAAAATCAGATATCCTGCCGTGTCTGAAGTGTTATAAGATTATGCCACAAGATAGTCAGTGTTACAACGGCGCCTAAGTTATCCTGCCTTATCGAAAACGCATTTCAGAATTCCGCCCAACACTTCATGAGATCGGCCAGTCACTTTATTAAAACACAATAGGCATGCCCACCCCTCATACCGTAGCAAATGATTATTTGTGATAGAAATGCGTTTAAAATGATCAATCATAGTTAGCGGTCTTAGCAATACTCTCATATTTGCATTTTCCTCTATTTTTAGACACGTTTTACTCCTACCACTGAGACGATCGATATGAACGCAGTGTACTCACACACGCCAAAATGGTGCCTTGAATTCTAACCCTCGATCGTCGTAGGTTGCATATCTCCTTTGACACGCATGCACATATAAATACACGGAGAATTCGCCTGTACCAGCAAGGTTTGCACTTCAAAGTAAGCGGCAGCCGTAATTTACCCTGAGAGTATAACCCGTTAGTGAATATACCATTTTTGTCTTACTTCCTGATTAATTTTGTTTTAGTAAGCATGCTCATCGCCAGCATACTTCCTGTCTTTTTTGCCTGTGTGCACGGTAGGTTTTATGCTGAAATACTATTCTAATATTTGGTTTGTGGTCTCAGATTACGGTCAAAAATGAGACGTATGCGATACCTATCTGAAAGCAAACAGTTTTTTTCGTCATTGCAGGCGCCAATGTGTCAGTTTTGAATTTAGCGCCGAGCTTAAACATCACTTTGCCTTTTATTGGCATACCCAAGCGGCAAGTAAGCTGTACATTCTTTTGGATTTTTGCGCGGATATTCGTTTAACTGGGGAATTTGACACTTTTATTACATTGCAGTTGGACTTGCATGGGACTGTAGTAATTGAAGAGAGATCTACCTCCACGTCCGATGAATCAGGTGAGCCATGTTATCAGTTGTTATCAAGTGAGAAACTTATTTCTAATGATCCGACCTCTAAAGACATTTATTTATGTTTCCCTAAATAGTGCCTTTTCAAAAGGTCATTAAGTTTTTTTATTTCTTAATTTGTTCGGTTGCCAGTCTTGTTCCCTTTAGTGGTTTGGAGACAGAAATCATGCAATTTTCAATGGCTATTAAAATGTTGAAATTGGAACCATCGTTGCCTACCCCGATTTTTTCATGTACTCTGATTAAGATCAAAAATAAACGAATATGATAACTCTCTAATATAAACAACATTGTTTTCATTACAGGCCCCCGTGATATCGTATTGCAGTTAGCTCCGAATACGGCCTTTACTTTTCCTCTCTTGAGCCTTCTGACACCAAAAGTAAGCCGCGCATTCTTTCGAATTGGTATGCTGATAATTTTCGTTCTACGTAATTTGACACTGTATTATAATTCAGTCGGTCTTGCATGAGAATGCGCCACTTCGACAGGGATCTATCTCCAAACCCTGTAAAATAGGGCAGTCATGCTATCAGTTATTAACAGGTGAGCACAATTCTTCTAATGGACCTCCTTCCCAGGACATCTAAATCATTCTTTTATCTCCCCCTAATTGCAAGCTTTTAAAGAGGCCATTTGTTTTATGCAGCCGTTTATGTTTTGAATTTGTTTATTGTTTTATTTATCAGGTTCCCCAGTATGATTTCCTTTGCCACTTTTCAGCACGCGAGTACGCGTTAATCTATTTATCTCCTACTGCTGGAAAGGGAATCATCGTCTCCTTTCCCGAAGACAAACTTAAATCGCCATCAGCAATAATTGTCCAGAAAAAAGGAGACACTTCAGCTGGTAGACAACCTAGTTTTTCTGTTTTACGTTATTTATGTCGTTAGGAATTATGCTGTTCTATGTTTAAATTTATGCAGCCGGACATTAGTGATATATTTTGCGTTGGGCGCATTCTGTGCGTTATTTATCATGCGGAGTAATTTAGTCCAGCCCAGCTTCCAGAATAATATTTATGTCTACCATTTATTATCTATACGTTCTATTCACCTTCCTTAAACTTGGTCCTCTATACTGAGAATTAGACGTTCAATGTTGAGTCAGAAATGCATGAACGTTCGTGGTCTCAATAGTCATTAGGCCAATTGCGGAAAACTTTAAATGTCAGCCACTAAATTCGTCTAGTTGGCAGTCCAAATGTTTTACCAATGTTAATTTCAGTAAGCTGGGGGATCACTTGCTCGAGGCGTAGTCTAGTATTTCATGAACACTCAATGCTATATTAATTGTCATTTTGAATGCATATTGATCGCCTGTACATTGCGAATCTCAATAAACATGTTTGTGGCACAGACCCCTCAATCCCAGAAGGCGTTGGCGTTGCTGAAAGGATTGAACTGGATATGACAGATACGGGACAAGGGTATATTTGGTATACTAACATAAGTATGCAAAATATGTTGGCATAAGAACATTATATAGAAGTCCTCGAGTTACATTTGGAGTCCAAAAAACATTTTCTTGCTTCAACTCTTCTAATTAATTGTTATTTCAGAACACATTAATTGGTGAAAATATGGCGTTCATGTCCCCTGATTATCCGACTACGCAACAACACCTCTA